ATTATTATTATTATTATTATTATTATTATTATTATTATCATTATCATCATCAGCAGCCATTTGCCACAGCAGATATTTTCAAGACATTCAGTACACTATGATAACTTATTGGAAAAATGAAATTTACAGATAGCATATATCAGGCGTCGTCACTCTAATGTTTAATTTTAAATATATATTTATAATGGCGCTAATCGGCATTCATGTTCCTCCTCAGAACATAAGCAGCGTTACCATGTTCAGTTGCTCCTCCAGACACTGCCCTTCAGACAGATGTGCTTAGGCTTATCATGCAGTTTATAAATCTACAGATATGTTTAAGGGAGCACACGGTAGCGTGGTTGGTTGAGGTACTATGTTACAAGCCGGAAATTAGCGGGTTCGAGTCCCGATAAGGTGGATTCTTTTCAATTTACCTAATTCTTTCAGGCGCATTATGGCCCTGTGGTCGACTCAGCCCCTAACAGAAATGACTATCAGGAATCTTCTTGGGGGTAAAGGGTGGCCGGTTCGTAAAGCTGACAACCTTGCCGGCATCTGTGAGCCGACTGCCTAGAGAAAATATGGGAGCCTCGACGTCTCACAACCCTATGGGCCTTCATGACCTGTTACAGGGATAATTTACCTTTCTAATTTTATGGATATTTTTACAAACTCATGTTCAAATATGAATATCCTTCCCTTATCAGATTTGTTTGTCTGTTGTTGTCATCGTCTTTTTTCATCGTCTTTGTTTTAGCGCTGTTGTTTTTATTCGTGCTGACTCTATATTTTGCCACCAGCTGTTGATCTCAGTATAGAAATAAATAAAGAATTGCATTATCACTATCGTCATCATCATTACTTTATCTGGTACATTATAATAGTACGAACACATTTTTTGCAGGCTCTACAGCCCCCGTGGGCCCTGGCCTCTTCTTTCAGTTTCATGATCATTTTTACAGACGGTAGGACTTCTTGTAGAATGATTAGCTCGTCTCAAGGCCTCTACCTAGGCATGGGACAACACGAAAACAGAATAAACACATACACACCAAACATCCATGACCTGAGTGGGATTCACAACCACGATCCCAGCGTCCTGGAGAGCGAGGACAGTTCATGCCTTAGAGAGCTCGGCTACTGTGACCGGCAGTACGAGTGCATTAGATGGGAAAAATTATTTCTATAGATATTACAAGTAAATAAGCTAAGCTCTCTAATTTCCATACTCTAGTGAAATTGACCATAAATTCCGACAGACTTACTTGGAGTGAATCAATAAATAACAATGTTAAACATAAACCACCTTATCGTGGTGAGGGGGTTTGAGTATGCCAAGGACCCTGAGAGCTATACCAGCGGTAGTGTAGCTATTGGCAGGGCCTCCCTTGCTGGACAGATCAAAGGGTAGGCATCAGACTAAGAGAGAGACCAAAAACCAAAAACTGATGTCGGAAGCAGCGTCATCAGCAGCGACTTGAAGCAAAGAGCAAATGATGCTCGAGATGGTTCAAGTTCGTATAGCAACAGGCGTGACCAGAGTGGTTTGAACGCCTGTTGTACTGAGATGTGGAAAGCAAATGGGAAAACTACCACATTATCACTCTTCCTGGATAGTCTCTTTCCAAAAACAGAAGATCGCATGAAGTGGAGGAACTGTTTTTGAAGTGACTGTGGACCTGTCGTCTGACAGATTACTGAATGAATCTAAATTTATGAAAGACAGTTCTATTAAATTTCAGATTGATGGTGCTTACGTAAGTAAACCTGACAAAACTGTCAATGACTTTTGTAAGAATTTTCAGCCCACTTAATTAGAATATCCCTGCTGGATTCATGCAGTACCTGCTTTCATTATAAAACGATATATCAAATCTAGCAATTGTTAATGATGCAAATGTATCGAGTGATTGCGGCCAACAAAATCTGCCATGTTGGACGGTATCCATAGATTTGTTGTAAAGGGTTGTTATGAACCTTTTTCCTTTTTCCTTAAGCTTACTTTCAATCTTAGTTTGTTAATGCACAAGTTTCCTGCTGCATGGAAATAATATCATTGTTCCGGTCTTTAAAAAGGCTCTATTAGTAATTGTGGACCTATTACTGTTCTTAATGCTTTTTGCAAGGCGTTTGAATTTGTCATGCGTGAGTATATTTCCAACTGTCTTAAGACCAAAACAAATTCTTCCCAGATTGGTTTTATCAATACCATTTACTACGGATTCTATCATTTTCTCTATATCGTTTCTTTTCTGTTTAGCATTTCTTTTTTCGCGCACCTATAAAGTTCTCGTTTAATTTCATGCATGCCGCTGCCTTAAGGAACAGAATATCTAGGATATAAGAACAAAAGACTACTACTACTTCAACAAAAATCGCTCGAAACAGTCACTGTCGTTTACATTTTCAGACTTCAGGAGTATGTCTGAAGAAAGCAGCTAATTAGTGCTACAGCATCTTAATTAGGAGCTGCATCATGAAGGGGAACTATGGATATACGTAGATCCATGCACTCGACTTTGGCATTAAAAGGCTTTCGGTCAGCTTAATGCTTCGACCCAATTAGCCCCGTCAGAAAAGTCGTGCATACATTTAGGATATTGTGTGGGCTTGAGGGCCTGTCGTTATGTGGTGGTGTACGCTAGTGTACCATCCTGTAGCCAGTCACGGTACTGACTGAGCTATGCAAGCTCACAGTGCTATATACACTTAGGCAGCGTCTACACTAGCGCACAAAATGCGTCCGTTGTAACGAACGTCGTGACGTCCGTTGTAGAAATAAACAAGAGAGGCGAATGCTCCATTGCAGACAAAAACTACACACCGCATTCTGCAACTGCGTGGTGTCCTCAGCAAAACACGTTCGTTACAACGGACGCATTTTGTGCGCTCGTGTAGACGCTGCCTAAGTAGGGTGGCAAGTTACGATACAAATTAATGTTTTTATGATTATCAGCGATTGATTTAATGGTGAATTTAGGTTGTTATTATTATCTACCTACACAGGCTTGATTTTGCTATACCGAAACATGCAGTATTTTTAATCCAGGCAAAGTGGTTGACAAGTGAATTTTAATGTAATTATTTTGCTTAAATACTTGCGGATTAGTGATATAGTTTCTGTCCTTTTACATGCAGAAGAAATTAAACTTTCCAATTTTCGAAACGCATCAAGAACACTGAAGATTAATTTCTGAACACAACCTACATATAATGAACTTTTAGCAAAGAGAGAGGAAATGGGAGCCACTATAAAATTAGGAAGTGTATTTCAGTCCTTAGTTCGTTCTCCACTAACAATATCTTAACCTCCTCTCTTCGGACATATGTAACTGCTGATGGCGGCGAATGAAGAAAGAAAGAAAGTCTGTCTTCTGCAATATAACTCCGTGTAACCCGTTCAAAGTCAACCGACGTTTCGGATGAACTTATCGTCTCCATCTTGAGGGTCGAGGAGTAAGCCAACCAAGAAACCAGCATGAAGTTAGTAACAATACTGTATGTTTCCCCAAAATGTCGGTTGACCTACACCGAACTACACGAGGTCACATCACTGAAGACAGAATTTTTCATAGCCGCCGCTGTAAGAAACTTAAATACGACGAGAAAGAAATTTGTATTCCTGAGAGGAGCCTCTATACGAGATACGGGATCTAATATCCATGTGGCTACTAATGTAAGTAGACATTAAATTAAAAATTATGTTTAAATAATACCGAAAAATTATTCCATATACACTGTATATCATGTACCGGGACTATTATTATCAGATTTATGTTAAGTTGGTTGTCAATCTATCATTATACTTACCACGATTTATTCGCGATTTTTCTCGATATACCACACTGTTGTTGAATTTCACTCTCAGTTTTGTTCGCTCAGGAACTAACGTCTCTTTTATCTTATCGTTCATCTTGCAAGCATAGACCAATACGTCAGTTGTAGTCGTTGTAGTGGCAATGATTGGCCGCTCGACAATGAGAGACTGGCACAATTGCTGTTAAGTACAGCTCATATAGCAGACGCACCGTCTCTGTCCCATGAAGCCTTGTGCAAAATTGCATATTTCTCACGAGACTGAAATCCCTCTAATAACCGTCGTCCCGAATGAGAAAACATTGAGTCACAAGCAGGAACACTAATATGAAACTAAAGGGATACAGGCGTAAACCCCTAACTCTTTTCTAGCCTACTCTCTTTCTTTACGGGGTGGAATTACGGTTGTAATACCTCCATCCTGTCTGTGTATGTTCCCTCTTTCAGGCTTTGAACCAATTACCAAAAATTTTACATGAGTGCCACGCTATACGCTCAAACTCGCACGTTTTAATTACCTGCAATCAGTAATAACATTATGGCGGATGTATGAATTTACGAATGGAAGGAACACTAGCGCAACTTACTGTTAGTGTTCAGTCCTGTAATTAAATTTGGTAAACATGCTTGAAAATTCCCCTTATCTGCTGCTGTAAGTTCAACGGTAGTTATTAACGAACGACTAAAGCTATTGCTGATACATGAAACTTGATAAGGAAGTGAATCATAAACACTTACTGATTCTGTGTGAAACATTGTTTATGTACTAGCAATTATAAATAAGGCAAAAATTTGAATCTTGCCATCATACCTGATATCTGTACATAAGTAATAATTCATTCCAGAAAAAATAATAAAAAACTCATTTGCGGATGAAAACAATAAATTCTGACTCACCCAGGGTTAGAGATTCTATGACCATTTGCGCACCACTCTAGCACCTTTACCCATGGGCTGAATTAAGTCATCTTTGGGTTAAAAATGTTACAAATAAATTTAGCAGCTGCAAGTTTCTGATGATGGTGTATTACATTCGGGATTACTGAGTTTCTGGTCTTTGTCCATTATCTAGTATTTTTATTGAACATAAAGTTTCAGCAAATAGATCTATTTTCCATCCTCAAGCGGCAGCATGTCGAGGCATCTGCTCAACTGGGTTGGTTAGAAGGAACTAATCTCAATCGTTGGTCAACCCAAGTCGGTATAATAACATTTATATATGCCCCTGAGCTGAGTCATTTCAAAAGTGATAAACTAAACTACTGTACTGCTTAAATCAGTATAACTGTAGGCACATGCAGCTGTCATTAAACCGACTTGGGTTGTCAATGAATTGAGATTAGCTCCTTTAAATATACCAACTTAGTAGGTGTCTCTCCATCCTTTCAATCGAAGTTGGAAATAGATCCAGTTTATGAAATATTTGTTCCTTTAGACTGTCAGATGACGGACAAAGTCCAGAAACTAACCAATCCAGAGAAAGCTTCATGTGTTTGATATGTGTATGCTAGTACTTGTATATTACATTAAACCAAAACTTTTATTCAAAAATTCTGCAATGTATACATAATGACATTAAATGTGAAACTAGATCTGCAGATACAGTTCTATGATGAAAAGAATGTAATAAACATTTCCTACAAACCTGTAATTAAAAGTAGTATAAAGATAATTACTGGATACTGTCAGAGAGAGATGGTTCAACAATTTATTAAATGTGTCATGTTACATCGTGTTACCACATTTTCATGAGAGATCCCAGAAGAATCTGTACAAGTTCTAATTTTCTGACAATAATTATCATAGACATTGTAATATGAAATATGTTCAATAATTTTTTAAATCCCATCCTTCTTATAAAGCACTTCTAACCGATGGTCTTGCATTCAATGTTTCTTTGGCACAAACATTGCATTACAAAGTAAAGAACTGTCAGCTACCTAAGCTGAATCCAGAGCCACTGTTATTTCTTGCAGGCTAGTACAACAGGAAATCTCCTATACAATGAATGTAAAAAAATTACAGTGACTCAAGCAGTCTTGTGCTTAGTTCTACATTTCCTTTTATTGCGCTGTTGCTGTCTGGAGAAAAGTTAGTATAACTTAGTAAAGTATTGCATATTAAAATATGATCTGCTTTCACCTAACTGATTTGCTGAATATCAGAAGTACTGACACTGAATAAGTGTAAAAAATTAAATAATATTCAATTAAATAATATTACTCTTCCATCAATTTTTGTTTTGATTCTACTTTGGGCTAAAAAAAATATATATTACATCATATTACCTCTCATTTAACAGAGTTCTTCATCCAGAACATATATTTTGCAAGTAGTGGTGGTTTAATGATTATAACATTGGCACTGATGTTTCTTCTCCATCCCTCCCACCCTCTCTACTCATGGAAATTTCTACGTTGGATATGAGTTTAGGATTTGCCTGTTCTTATCTTTTTATATTGCTAATCAATCTCAGTACTATCAATAAACTATAATAAGTAGTTTGTAAAACTTAATATAACAATGAATAAAGTCATAAAACAAATACTCAATAAAGCTACAGTCAGACACTGATGTATTAAATATTCAAGGTAATTTACAACTGAGAACATTCAACTGGAAATGAACAACAAAACTATACATTATTCTACAAGAATCAGTAATTAAGTTTCTATGCATGTAGCATAAGAACAATATCTAATCCTAATAATTCTTGATATTATCAGATTTAAAATCTTTAGTGAATGTTGTTTGCGTATACGAGTACAAGGTATGTGCTTCCACCAGGAATAGTAATAAATGAAAGTCAGTCGACAAACAAAGCATTAAAATAATAGGGTAAGTGCTAACTTTCACAAATGCATGGACAGAGACTACTCACATACTCCGTGCAAATCTTAAAGAAGAATATATAAGGAACTATCTTTCCAAACATTAAAATTAGTGCCACTGAAGGATATATATATATATATATATATATATATAGCTAAAGTAAATAATACTTGAATGGAACACTCTAAATTAATTTCACTAATATCAATTTCTTCAAAATATATAACCTAGAAATAATATGAAGTTTTATTGTTTATTTATGATCTTATCATCCTATTTTTCTTCCTAGATGAATAACAAATAATCACTAACAATAAGTAAACTATATACATACAAGAAGTAAACAACATATTTAATACTTCATATTGGACTTACTTCTCATGCGGTTGTATTTAAATTCACTTTTTTATTTAGTTGTAGAACATGATCATTCTATATGTAAATATCTTGAACATGTCTAAAATGTAAGACAGTTTTTCTCTTAGGAAGACTTTTCTGTTGTTTAAAGATAAATCTACCAATTCCACTAATACACTAATTACCATATTACATCATATTTTGTAGTCAAATAGCGACAACTAAATTCACTTACAACTATAGCATACTGGTGGGCAATTTAGAGACACCCAAATGACAAGTTAGAAAAAAATTAACCCACATGACGTATTTTCAACTGACAATTGATGTCTTTGCTATGCTAACGGCTTTGAACTTCCACATAGCAAAATTTACTTTCTTCTTCTTCTTCTTGTAACAATGTAAATACAGTTGAACAACTCTACTCCTAACCAAAGAGAAGCCTACTAAAACAATGTCGGTAGTAGACTGAGTGTGTTATATATATTTACACTAAATACAAAGGACTGTCATTCATGGAGAAAGAAAGAAATATCTCATATATCTTCTGATCAATTCCTCAGGAGACAGCCTTGAGAGAGGCTTTTCCTTCTAAACCTGGTTTACAAATATTTTAACTGCACTTCACTGCAACACCAGTTTCTTACTGTTAAATTTATATTACTTAAATATTATAATGTAGTCACTGAAATGGGATAAAGTTTGAATGTGCAACTCAAAAATATTTCATCCTTAAATAAGGGTATTGTAAGAACTCATTAAGGATCACAATGTGCTTACAGCTTATTCAGTAAGCTGTACTTGGTTCTAAATTGCCAAGGTGCTGATAACTGAGTCAGGAATTAGTAAGATCTCATCATAAATTACAGTTTTTAATTCTTAAATTTTAATTGAAATACACTAGTATTTGGAACCTACAAAAAATCTTGTTTATTTAAATTACAGATAAATTTCAGGTAAAATTCAGTTATAAAAAATAACAATTTGATATTAACATAAATCTATCCCTACTTATTGGAAACAGATGCAACTGTTGAAAGATCAAAATTGTACATTTAAAGAGAGCCTGGGGAAAACTCTGGGGTTTGAAAAAACTGTTATTGACCTGAACAAAACAGGACATTGCAAACAGCATCATTAAATGGAAACACATGTCCCATTTTGTTACATTCCATGGCTACAAGAAAGTCTTATCCTAAAATCGTTTGATATGGTTATATGAAGGCCAATTTATATTGTGAATGATTCCAAAATCTGCACGATTTGTGGCACAGAATCACAGCAGCAGTAATAATTGACATCTAGATTGCTGTCCATACTGCAGACTGAGACCAGATCTGTTCAAAGACCTGTGAGCAGAGACCATATTGAATTGTGCTTATTTATAATAATTCATTATCAACGTGCCATTTTGAGTTCCTTTCACTAATAATACAACCTACTGAACTGACTCCTATGCAAATTCGATCTATTAATAGATTCTAAAGGGCTCTGACAATGATCTATAACACTCAGAATTACTGGGTCTTTTAACTTTGTCCTTCCTTCAGTATTCTAAAGAGTTAATGAACAACATTTCAGAAATTGGATCTGTTTCTGTCCTCATGTGAGGGGAGAGAACACCTACTCTGCTGGGTCCTTTAGGACTAACCATCCCATGTCAGTATAACTACAGCTATACATATACCTGAGACCAGGTTTTGTCAAAGGGAGATAACAGGAAAATATGCAATAAAAACTGTGATATAGCATGCACAAATCTGAAACTAGGATAGAAAGGGAGGTGAAAATTTTAGGTAACAAACCTAACCGACAAACGAAATACACAAAAATCAATGCATACAGTTAAATGGAGAATTCTTTTCAACCATTTTTGTGCCTCCCACTAGCGCCATATGTGGTGTAAATACTGAAAACTAGGGACTAAAACCATATAGAAACTCATAAAGAACCTGGTAAGAAGTCGTGACCTGCTGGTTGAGGTAGCCTAAGGCCCAGAACAGAGACCGGGGGATATACTGATCTCTGTTGAGTTGGTAACCTCATTCTTGATAAGGGGTGTCCAGATGGTTAAGCACACCATGAGGGCTGAGTGTTTCCTTTTCCAAATTCCCAGTTCCATGCCAGCCTACCTATGACCCTCTTCATAAGCATTTTGTGCAAATTTTGATTTTTCTAGAGGATCTGCTTTGAGATTTTGCCTATGTTCATAGAACCCAACGGCCAGAGATCTGCCTGTTTCGCCAATGTACCTACTGCTACTTTCACAGGGAATGCTATGGACACATTGTGTCATCTGTTGCAGATCTCTTTCAATTCAGTTATTTTATCTAGAGTGGTTTTTATCCTCTGTGTTACCAATACCCTAGAATTCTATCTCAGACATTCTACATATGTATGGAAAATATAAACTGCGTAGATATCTCCCAAATATTTTCAGCATGAATTTGAAAAATCAGAACTATCTGTATGAATACAGTGATGTTTTATTGTATAATAATATTTAAGTATGTTTAAACAGAATCAAAATAGTGAAAAAGTAATTAAATCTGATGGAAAGAGGTATAGGTGAGTTATTATAGAGAACTTCTTAGTTAGAAATATATTAGGAGAGATGCTTTGATTGATTCTTAATTGGCAAAAGCCATTCAACTGAAATGAGTGACAACAGAAAAAATCCATATATCTGATTTCCATAAAAGAATACAAATATGGCAGAAATATGACTGTCTGAAGAAAAGGAAAAAAGTAGAGAGCAGTCTGAAGGAAACAAATATGATGGGAAACCTGAAGATGCAAGATCAATATAATTCATGGGGCAGAAAAAATTGTATCAGAATGTTCCAGTGATACAGAACATAGCTAAATATGGTGAGCTAATGTAGCTATTATTGTATTAAAGGATCATATGCCAGAGGATGAGATGATATTTTTGGACCAACTTTGAGACAAATATAAGAATTTCTGCTTTGCAATCAGGACATTCTGGGCTCTCATTTCAGGCAAGAGACCAATTATCCCTTTAATGTTTTTCATTGTTGGAAAATGCTACAAAAATTCCTTGAAGTAGCTCATGACCTCTTTCTCTCACATCCTTTCCAATTCATCCTTCAGAGTCGTCCTCTCATTTGATGCTGCATTATCTGTGCAGTTTAGAGTGCATCAAAGCAGCCAAGGATCATTTAAGAGGTAAGTGAGAACTAAGAAATTATATAGTATTAGAGGTTTTAATAGGGGTAACTACGAAGAATGCCGTTTTTCTGTGATTTGGCGCCGTTCAGATCTCATGTGAACCGATGTTTCGAAACAACGTATCGCCTCCATCTTCAGGGTAGAAATATCCGCGATCATGAAACCAGTTTAAACAGGTGACTAGCAGACTGAGCCACCAGTCAAAAGCACCCAGCTACATGAGAACAGAGGGAGGGAGGGTGAGTGGGCCACATGGTGAATCAATAGAGGAGACAGGGGGGTAGGGGCAGTAGAGATCAGGTAGGAAGGCCAGACAAGCAGGTAAAGGAAAATTGTCAGGGTGGGGAAAATTCCAGGACTACCAAGCAAGCATTGGTCCAGTAGTCTTGGGGCTAGAGCTGCAGAGTGTGTATTGACCTGTGTGGCCTTGTAGATCTGGTGTCATAGTCAGGAGATTTCTTGTGGGAGCAGATAAGAGACTTCCTTGACTTGCTGAAACAAGAACCAACCTCTCTCTTCATATTGTTGGGATGGAGCTCAACCCTGATTGCCTCCCTAATGATGCGATCCATGTATCGGGTCGTAGTGGCGAAGATGAAGGTATTGTGAAATTGAATGTGGTGTCCTAAGTTGACGCTCTGTTCAGCCAAGGTTGACTTGTCTGGATGTTCTAGACAGATGTGCTGCTGATGCTTCTTCAACCTCCTGTCCATGGAACAGCCTGTCTACCCAGTGTGGACTATGCCACTCACAGAGTATTCTGTATACACCTGGTGTCCTTAGTCCTAAGTTATCTTTGACCAACCGGAGGAAACTACATACTTTCTTGGGAGGCAGGCCCACTGACTTGATGTTGTGTCAGGACAGCACTCTGCTGATTCGGTTGAATAAAGTCCTGACATAGGAGAGGAAGGTGACTGAGACTGGATTATCATTGGGCTGACTGATATTTAGACGACAGTTGAGGACTCTGTGGAACTACCGGCCATTGTAAACATCCTGCCTGAAAACGTCCTTCAAGAACATCAACTCAGGCATGAGGGCTGTCTTGATTGCATGTGCACAAGTGTGGAAACTACAGCTTACTTACTGGATGGGTGGTGATGGGACCCAGCGTTAAGGTAGAGATTGGTATGGTTTACAGTACACTCTATGGCCCAGAGAACAGTCGGTTCTCCTGTAAATATCTATGTCAAGGAAGAGGAGGTGGCCTCACTTTCGGCCTCCATGGTGAACTGAATGCACTGGAGGACAATGTTCAGATGGTTCAGGAAATTCTTCAGTTTGTTGGGTCCATGTGGTCAGATGATGAAGGTGTCATCCATGTAGTGAAACCAGCAGAGGGGCTTGTGGGGGGCCAAGTCAAGCGCCCTCTCCTTGAATTCCTTCATGTAGAAGTTGGTGATGATTGGAGACAGTGTTGAACCCATGATCACATCATCGATTTGTTCATACAACTGGCCATTGATGATGGAGTATGAGGTGGTTAGAACACTGCAGAAGAGACTCAAGATATCTTCATCACAATGGTGTCCTAGCAGATCCACAGTTTCCTTTATTGGCACCCTTGTAAAGAGCAACACCACATCAAAACTGACCATTATATCGTGAGGACTGACTTGGAGAAAACCCAAGGTGTGAACAAATTCCATTGAGTTTCTCACATGGTGTGGACAGTTGCCAGTTTAGGAGCTAAGTAGGCCAACCAAGTGTTTGGCCAAGTGATAGGTAGGGGAACCAATAGTGCTCACAATGGCCCTTAATGGCACATCTGGCTTGTGTATCTTCAGCAAGCCATATAGTCTACGGGGCCTGGAACCTTGTGGTCATAGTTGTTGGAAAAAAATCCTCACCAATCGCGGACTTTTTCAGGAGAATAACAGTCTTGCACTCTATGGAATCAGCGGGATTCTTCTTCAATTGCTTGTAGGCCTTGTCCTCCAGGAGAGCAGCGATCTTCTGGTTGTAGTCTGAATACCCAATACCATGGCCACATTACATTTGTCAGCCAGAAGGATGGTGAGTGCATCATTGGCTTTTGAGGTAGGAAGGGCTCTCCTCTCAGCACCATTCAGGTTGTCCTTGGGTTTATACGTTCCTCCAAAACGTCAGTTCACACAAGATCTACTTGGCGTTCTTTAAGATATTATACTTAATTGAAGATTTAAAATTGTTCTGAAGAAATATAAATATATAAGAAATGGAGGAAACACCTAAACAGAAGGAATGAGGACTACATGCTTGCATACAACTAACTTATACATATATATCTATCAAGAGGCCATTCAATAATATAATGGAAAGATCAGTTTTGAGTTCACTAATTCCAGAAAAAAAAGAACAATGAACAGGTACTTTGGCATACAGGTATATGTGAACAGATCCATTCACGATGTTGACATTTCCTTATAGTTTTATGATCAATATACTGTTGCGAAGGTCGTCTAGTAAGTTCTGCTACCACTGGTTTCATTCCTCACACCGATTTTGAGTGTTCAAAAATAAATTTCAGGATTAAATGTGTTGCAATACCAAGGCATATGTGGGTGGACAATATTAGAATGGATCTTAGAGAGATAGGATGGGATGGTATGGATTGGATAGTTGTGGCTCAGGATATGGACCAGTGGAGGGCTCTTGTGAACATGGTGATGAACCTTCTGGTTCTATAAAATGCTGGGAAATTCTTGAGTAGCTGAAGAATTGGTGGCTCCTCCAGAAGGGCTCAGCTCCATGAGTAAGTAAGTAAGTGAAACAGATGAGTACATGTAACAGATATGGCAATGCTGAGTGACTGAATAAATTATACAAAGTTATTTTCAAGCAGGTTACACAAAGTCATTAGCATAATAGTAGAGGCTTTGTAAGCAATTTGATATTTACTTAAATATTCCGATACAATCTATAAACTGCCTTGCTGTACTGCTACTGTTCTTTACTTGCAAACTTCAGTTTTTAAAATGTAAATAGTATAGTAATTACAAATATGTAATTCAATAAATACTGATAAATGTAAAGAGCAAAAATAAGGAGCCTAAAGTCTGAGTATTTTCTCATCAGAATCAATACCTCCATCCGTACCTTATTAAATGGATTTGTTTTCCGGTCAGGTCTTTCTATACATTACTTTACCCAGGTACAACAGGGAATTGGAAAAGCTTGTTGAAATGTCCTTGCAGCATTGTTACAGTTCAGAGGATGTTGTAAAATGGTCCAGTAATATGATAGTTGACTAATCAACCAATAGCTGGAATTGAACAAGTCCAATTCGATCACGCCGATCATGCACAATATTATGAGCCCAAGCTTTGCATTCCACACTCACAAGGACATTTCCTGCAACAGACAAAGAATGGTGCAACTTAAACTATAAACAATACTAACAATACAATACACGATTCTGTTTACAAATAATATACACTGCACAAGTACAGTGTATGTCCATAAAGAGGGTGTAATTTCTATTTGCTATTTTGTAATAATGAATACTAGAAATACAGAGCAAAAGAATCATTGTGAATGATTGCTCATGTAATTAATGAAATGAAATTTGAGGCCCATTCTGCACTCTCTACACATCTCACTGATATTTCAAGTCTTTCCACACCTGAATGAAAACCTAAAATTGCAGATTTAACAATGTACCTCATTATTTGCTTCAAACAATTAATTTCACTAGCTTTTCACACTTGATAGCACTGTTCTACATGCTCTTATGGGTAAAGTCTAGTGCAGTAAGGTGCAAAATCAAGATGAGCAAGGTTTCAAACTGCTTTTCTAACCCATGACCCTGGAAAATTATCATTTAGACCTTCAGAAACAATTATCAAATAAGGTAATGGGGCCTCTTGAATTTTAAATGGATGATTCCCAGGATGGTGGTTTGGAATAAGGAGTTCTAAACCACAGTCACTTTTGCCTCTAGAATTCACTGTGCTACTTCTAGTTATGGTACTACACAAAACAAGTTTGGTGTGACACTCACTATTAAACTTTAGTTCAACAGTGAATGGTTGTAGCAAATGACAAAAATGGAACTCATACTGAATTTCATTAACAACACAGATCAACTTCCACGTGTACACCATTATTCGTAAGTCACAATTTGATTTGTTATAGTTTATCATGTTCAATAGATATTTACATTTGAAATTCTGGCAGTACTTAATGGAAAACTTATACATATATAATCATCTGATAGTACTTATGCAGTATACGCACTTGAAATATTTTTGAAGTGTACAGCAACCAGTGGACTCAAGTAGGTTTTCGTACCCAGGAATGGATAGTAGTACCCTGGAAACCCTTGGTCAGGGATGTATTCAACAGTTCCAATAAATTCCTTGTCAGCTGGATACTGTCCCTCACAGCTAACCCACACAGTGTTCAGCTGCAATAAGTACAGACCCCTCAATTTCTATATGAAAGAAAGTGTTATTTATTTATACTTGTACATCAGTTTACTTAAAAATTATCTCTGGATTATCCTACCAAACCAGTCAGCACAGTGCTAACACAGTTGTCTCACATTAGGAGGTACTTTGTAGAATTTGATGTTCTCACAGCTGTGGTTATGAAGAGTTCTATGTCCTAAGATATAATGCCATGTAGCCTGCTGAAAGTCAACTGGAGAAACATGTGGCCTCTATCTTCAGGGTCAAACAATAAGCCAAGCAAGAAACCAGCATGAATCAGGTAGCTCTGCTTGCTACTTGCTTCAAAAAGACCCTGAAGATGGAGGTGACATGTTACTCTGAAACACTTGTTTACTTTCAACAGACTACATGGTGTTTCTCTTATGTCCCAGGAGATAAAACTCTGAAAACAACCTCGTTCACATCTTTGACATGAACTTCATCTGTTTACTAAGAGTAGCTTTCCTCAGTTTCTCCGTTGAGTATCAAGATTGTGTAAACTCACAATATTTCTGTCTCAGCCTTTGTGTCACAGAGCAAGTTCACACAGCTTCAGCTTGAGTTTCAGTTGTGAAACCAACCATATACACATATACTAGGCCTGTTCATTTCATTTATGCACAGAAGTTCTTACATTTGCTGAACAACCAGAAACATATTTTCAGTGAGTCGGGTGAAGTGCTGTTTTGCAGGTGGTTGAAGTAGGTGCAAAGATGACACTTTGGAACATATCAAGTAGGGTCCATCAATAAGCATTTAACAACTGAATGGAACATTTTAAGAAATGTGCATTTCAAGAACCATAGAGGGCTGCCAGATAGTAGTACACACAGATAAAACAATAGCAGACACAATGCAAAAATTAAATTACATAAATAAATTAATAACATTATACTTAAAATACATGCTGAAACACATGAGAAACTTATGAATGCTAATACAGATGAAAAGGAGAGCTAGTACTACCATATATAATATTTAATTTTTGGCATCTATGTGATTTGAGATTTTACAATGGTGAAGACTGATATTGTGTCTTCTGAGTTACAACACTGTGTGGACTAGTACATAATTTTCAACATTCTGTATCTGAATATCATTCTGCATTTATGAAATAATCCTGGAAATTCTTTTTTGACTTATACTCTATGACTGAAAATAATAAAGCTTAAGGTTCAGAACTTACAAACTTTGTGCTATTCTTTGCCATTCTTTCAATATGCTCTCTCAGATCTTTGGGCATCTGACTTGGTAGATCTTTCACACTTTTGTAGTATTCTGGTTCCCATTTGAGTATCTGTAGGAGAAAATTGCCTTAGTTCAAGTGAAATAAGATCAAACTGCAAAAAGAATTTTATGCACGTGGAAATTATTACATATTGCCATTGCATGGGATGGGAAGAACATGTAAAACAAATGCTTTCCCTAAGTAAGCAGAAGAAATTTTTCTTCATAAAAGTATCAAGAACAGTGGATTAATGGCTCTGTAATATTTATTCTTGACACACAACATCTTGGAGGATGTTGGACAATTTCAACTTGACAGCTGGCAATGTGCCCGTCCTTAATTTAGGATATGTGAAAGAGTAACCCAGAACAGATCTGTTTTAATAAAAAATATTTCAGTTCTACACATAAATATTTAACCCCTGGCTATCATTAAAAGGTATCGTTTAAATATCATTGCATAAGAGACAATTTCCCATGAAGAGAAGGTGTCCAAACCTTGAAACTCACTTGCTCCTCATCATACCGACAATCTTCAAGGAGCAGCCTTAACTCCAGTCCCCTTCAGCTTTATTTTGTGGGCTTCATTAATTTAGTAATTTGTTGACTTGTATATCCTTTAACTTTCCCCATGTGGAGGTGAGTTAGAATAACTCCACCATAGCCTTGCAAGTCTTAGAAAGCGATGAAAAGGGAACCTGATGCCTGGGGGTATAAGTGGGCCACCCTGTCACTGGGGACATACAAGTAAATACTGAGACCTGCTCCTCAAGGTTGGGGGTTGGGGGTTAGATGCAAGACTTGCTCTGTAAAAAAATACTGCTGAAAAATCCAAAGGAGTAGAAACCAGATGGTCTAATTCCCAGGAGTGGAGAAATCTGGCAGAATTTTCTAAGGAAGGCTATGGTTAAAAGTAGGCTGATTTTCCAGTTATGATTATTATGATGATGATATTAATTACAACAATGACGATGACCACAGCGACAATGACGATGATCACGACGACGACGATGATGACCACAATGACAATGATATCCTCTTGGATTTAATGGGGGAGAGGATCTCATTACATAGAATTTGAGTTTCTCACAATTGTTGTTATGAAGTGTTCTGTCTATATTGCCTTCATCTGCATGGTCGATTAATAAAGCAAGCAAGAAACCAGAGTGAAAACAGGTGGCAAGCAGAGCCTGCCACCTGCTCTTCATGTGGAGATGTAGACAGTCCTTCAATCATTAGGTCACGTGAAGTGATTAAGGCTTCAAATTAATAGCACTTTAGGAATGAATAACCCAACCCACTCTAACACACACACACAGACCCACAAATGCTACTCGCTTGCACAGATTATTCTTCGACTCAAAAATATATGCATTCCTTTCTTTAGAAATATCTGTAACATTTTACCAGACTAAGAGCCTCACATTCCAGATGATAGTGGGCTACTCTTCATAGTTACTGCTATGAGAACCTCAAATTTTGCATACAAAACAGTTTGCACAATTGAAGAAGAGGATAATGGCCATTCAAAGTCTACTATGCAACAGTAAAATTCCTGTCTAATACTACTTAATTAAGCTATTCTGTATACAACTCCTAATATTTTCTATAAGGTCTACTCTTACTGTCACACCATCACTCATCTGTGATCAAGACAATACATACAAGAAAATAATGTATCACATCTCAAGCGCCCAATGCTAACATTTTCTGAAGAAAGTTTAGTTTGGAAGGGGGTGGTGGTGAGAGAATAGACTAACACTTGTAAAATTGGCATATTCTATGGGTTAGATAGGCCTAACAAGAGAATGGATCAGGTTCTAACTGTACTGGCCTGACTTCCGGTTAGATTTAAGTATAGATAAACAAATCTGGAACAAATGCCGAATTGAATCTTGAAGTTTCTGTAGGGACGTCCCTCATCAACTCACTCTGTTCGATGAAGCCAAAAGCGTTACTGACACTTTTCCTAGAGACATCACAGCTAGAAATATCTTAATAACATTTCTCAGAATTAGATTAAGTAGCACACCAACCTTATTAAGTTTAATAAATACACACGGCCTACTGTTAACAAAATCGAAGTCGTTTTCAGAAGTGCATGGGTCCCAGTTATCCACAGGCACATTGCACACTTCATTGTGTCCTGGCTTATTACCATAGTCACACCGAACAACATCGGAATTGTTTGTCTGGTTCTTGTAACCTGAAACAGTAACATCTTCACTTAGGCCTATGATTATTCATTCTAAAGAAATCGATGTCCTCAGTAAGATTCAAAATGCTAATTTCAGTCTCAGGGTAAAAAGGTAAAGCTATCCCTGCAATCCTTGCTCCATTATTTTTCCTACTGTATGTAAATGAGCTTCCTAATAGAGCATCATAATGCCTAATCCTAACCTTCTGGAATTTGAAACTAATAAGAATAAACAATTTGTAGCCATAAATGAATGGTTTAAAGCCAATTTGTTATCTTTAAATTTAAAAAAAAACTCATTACCTTTTATTCAGAACAAAAAATAGTTTAGAAACCAATATCAGTACATGCTGTGGAAACAAGCATATTACTAACACGTCAAACATTAAGTTTCTTGGTTTACACATTGATGAAACATTATCATGGAAACTTCATATTGACCAATTAGTAACTAAAATGAGTTCAGCTTGTTATGCTATTAGGACAGCAAAAGGTTTTATGTCACAAGAAACCCTTAAGATGATTTATTTCTCCTATGTGCATTCTCTTATGGAATATGGTATAATTTTCTGGGGTAATATGTCTAACAGTGTCAATGTCTTTAGGATACTAAAGCGGACAATTAAAGTTATTATGAATGCAAAAACTAGAGACTCCTGTAGGGATCTACTTAAAAAATTAAATATATTGCCAATGTATTCACAATATATATACTCAATAATACTGTTTGTCGTAAAAAATAAAAATCTGTACAAATCGAATCATGAGATTCATAGCTTCAGTACTAGACATAGCACAAACTTGCACTCTCCTACATCACGTTTGACAGTTTTCCAAAAAGGACCCTACTACTCTGGTATCAGAGCTTATAATCATCTTCCACCTCATATAAAAAGTCTGAGTAATGAAATGAAACTGTTCAAACCGATGCTAAAAAGGTTTCTTCTTTCCAATTCATTTTATTCCTTGGACAAATATTTTAACTATAAAGGAAACTAAACACCTGGGTTATACTCCCTACTAAGAAAACTTTTTTATGATACTTATAATCTGCTCATATATATTCATTACATATTAGTATTATCAGTACATTAGTTTTAATATTTTAAACATACAGCTGTCATACGATGTACACAAGTTGTTCCATCTGTGTCCTGGGTATTAAGTGTGCAGGCATCTATGACCTGTTTGTTGTCTGTGTATTGTTTGTAAGTAATAATTGGTGCAATGTCCTAATACATAATCTGCTTTTAGATATTAGACCAATGTTTGAGATACTGTATTGTTGAGAGGAATTATTGATGTATTTACACTCATAGCTTGTTAATGTGATGCAACCTGTCTGGTTTTGTCTGTGACTAATTCCACATCTATTGGTCATTATTGTACCACAAGGGATCAACGGAATGTTTAAATAAATTGAATTGAATTAAATTAAATAGGCCATGAAGGTCCATAGGGTTGTGAGATGTCGAGGCTCCCACATTTTCTAGACAGTCAGCTCACAGATGGTGGTGAAGTTATGAGCTTTATGTGCCGGCCGTCCTTTACCCTCAGGAAGATTCCTGGTACTCATTTCTGTTAGAAGCTGAGTCGACTCCATGGCCATAATGCGGCTCCAAGGATTAGATAAATTGAAAATATCCAATGAACTCACCAGGAATCGAACACGTGACCTTCTGGCTTGTAGTATAGCGTAGTTTATTGAGACACTATCCTGCTTAATTTACGTGGGGTTTGCATCTTGTCGTGCATATTCTGTCTGCTATGGCTGGTGGATAAATCTATTCAATTACCTACCTTCGAGAAAAGTATCTAGATTCATGGTCCAGTTCTTATGGTTGTTCTTGGAACTGGCATTATACCAAATCAGAGTGCTCCCTTCATGTTCCATCGACAGGGGACGAAATCCAAGACCTGAAATGTCGAAGTTCAGGTGAACAGCCAGTAGCCGATCACAGAGTCAGCACGAATGCAAAACAGGAGCAACAACAGAAACGAACATTAGAGAAAAAAACATGTAACGAAAAAACTAAATCGATTAACCATTATTTAAATTTAGATTTCTAAAAATTTGTATCGATTTGCTAAATGACATAGCAGCAGAAGCACATCTAGCTGAAAAGCATGGACTGGAGGTGCAACTGAACATAGAAAGAGGGCGTATTCCTCGAGCAGGAAGAGCAATGCCGCCTCTTTTTAGAACAGAAGGGAAATACTGAACTCAATTATAAACATTTCTTAATAATAAAGCATCAAAATGACGTCGCCTAATATGTAGTGTCTGTAAATTTATTTTTCCTGACAAATTATCACAAACTCCGTGATTTCAGTCCGCAAGCGAACTATACCGACCGAGTGACCGCCGCTTCTCGGTGAAGTTTAGTGCCAACTTTTGCGGATAGAGGGTGTCGCGTGGTCAGCGCAACGAATCCCCACGGCCGTTAATTTCGGTTTTCTAGACCGGAGCCGCTATTTCCTTGAAATAGCTCTTCGTTTATCATCACGAGGCTGAGTGGACCCCGTTCCAGACCCACTACTTCTTCGAAAAAATCTGGTAGCGCCGGGAATCGAACCCGGATTTCTACATCTGTAACCAGGAACTGAGACCACTAGACCACAGAGGCGGCGATAAATTATCACACCAAGAATGAATATTTTGAAAAACTCAACTGTGGCAAGAGACTGCAAATTTTATTAGTATGCGCTCAAGTTTACTGAGTCAGTACTAGTAAAAGGTAAAGTTGTTCCTGTGCTTAATTAATTAAGCAACAAAGCCCAACACCATAAACGCCTATGAGGGATTGAGTTATAGCACTACCGTTATTGATCTCGGCACTAGATGTAGGTGAATGATAAGATTCACGCCACTGCTGCATTATCCCCGGGGAAAGAGCCGCCACACCTATTGGACATAAAGCTGGATGGAACCCAGATCCGGTCTGGACGCTGCGGAGTAGAGAAAAATCTCTTGCCTCTGCCAGGGATCGAACCCCGGACGTCCAAATCGTAGCCTGTAGCATATTCTTAAGAGACAAATATATCCTCTTGTCAGAGGGGATGATACACAAGGACAATGACATCAAGGGTTCAGTTGTAAAAGAAAAAGGCCCTGTTCGTGATCCCCAAATGGCTTAACGTCAAGACGAAATGATTAGCTGCAAACTGCCAGTCGTAAAGTAACGCTGACTCTGACTAAACAGTCGCAGTCATGACTTAGTGTGGCCATGAGTTAGTTGTGAGTAGCCGGGATAGCGCAGTCGGTATAGCGATTGGCTACGGGCTGGACCACCAAGAGGTCAGAGTTTGGGTCTCCGTAAGGGCAAGATTTTTCTCTTCTTCAGGTAGTCGAGACCAGGTCCTGGCCCCATCCAGCCTTCCATCCAATGGGTACCGGCGGCTCTTTCCCCGAGGGTAAAGCGGCCGGGGCGTGAAGCTGACCACTCCCAACTAGTGTCGAGGTCAAGAATACATCCACTCCTCCATATGCTTTCATGGCGCAGCTCTTAATTAGTTAAGCGCATGGACAACTTTGTGAATTAGTTGTGAAATGGTAGCCAGCCGGCAACGATGTAAACACGACAAGAGGATCTATTGTTGGGAGTAGTTAGCAGACAACGACCGGTGAAGATGTAGCAAACTGAGAAGACAGCCTGTGCTGTAATGAGAAGTCGAATGGGTGAATTAGCGAGAATATTTTAATTACTTGTAGTTATGATTTATAAGTTTTCACTAAATCCAATTACCAACCCAAATCCCGTGTCTAGTCACGTGACAATACACGTACTGTCATTCCACCGTAACGACCGGGTGGAAAAGAAACACTCGATAAGTGCAACAAAATCTGTTTCTGCGTCAATAACCTGTGTTTACGAATTCTATTTCTTAACATTTTCCAGTGTAAAAAAAAATCTCTATTTCTATATTAATATTCCTACTGTCTGTATTCCTGTGTTAATTCCTGTATTATATTCCTGTGTCAACAGACATAAGCAACGAATCTGCCCTACGGACTTGCTTGCATTCTTTATTAAAACATCGACATTAAGGACGTACCTGGAGAGGTTCCGATGATTGAATCGTCGAGGTAGTATTTGGGACCGTCATCGTTGATCGTCTGCATGAACATCCACATGGCCAGGGCAAAGAAGGCAGCGAGGAAGAAGTAAAACGTCAAGTAGAAAATTATGATCTTTACTGAAACATACAAGAAACATCTGTGTCAAAATCATTGCAAGTAGGCCTACTACATCAATAACATTAATAATAATAATAATAATAATAATAATAATAATAATAATAATAATAACAATAATAATAATAATGTATCACATTCCCAATGCCAACGATTTCACGAGTTCTGAGGAACTGTACTCTTTATTTTCACAATAAAATTAACTACAGCTTATTAGGAATTAAAAGTGTCGGGCTTGATCCAATACGATTCTGTATTTCAGCATCCCGTTGCAATTGTTCAATTAGCGTCCATTGTTTATCTTCTGTCAAAATTGCAACACTTTTATATTCTACACTTCAACATTACATGTTTCGGCCTCAAACGGTCATCTTCAGGTGCTTTTATGTTACAAATATTTTACTAAAACTGTGTTAAAAACTGCTACACTCTTTTAATTCGTGTTAAAATCACACGCCGTAGTCTTCTTAAGTAAAACGAGATACAGTCCTTTAAAATTTCTGCTGAATATTATTTCACCTCACCCGGGGTGTCGTCATTTTCGTAAATGTATCAAGGTGTTTTTCTCGGCAGCTTGCCCCTCACATTCGTGGTCTACTTTCAGTTTTTGACTGCCATATGCTCCTGGTTTGTGTGTGCTTCCTCCACAGTGTGTGGTGTTGTCTTTACTACTACTCTTAACACAGTTTTAGTAAAATATCTGTAATATAAAAACACCTGAAGATGGCCGTTTGAGGCCGAAACATGTAGTGTTGAAGTGTAGGATGTAAAAGTGTTGCAATTTTTACGGAAGATAAACAATGGGCGCTAATTTGATCAATATATTAAGTTTTCTATTCCCACTGTTGATACCCTTTTGAGTTTGCATAGCATATCTGTGCCGTCGGAACTTAAGTAGCCGGTCAAAGTAGTCGAGTGGTCTAAGGCATGAAATGTCTTCGCTCGCTCGCTCGGACCCTGGGATCGTGGGTTCGAATCCCACTCAGAACATGGATGTTTCGTGTGTGTATGTGTTGTCCTGTGTTTAGGTAGAGGCATTTCGACGAGCTGATCACTCTTCCAAGGAGTTCTACCGTCTGTAAAAATGATCATGAAACTGAAAGAAGAATCCAGGGCCCACGGGGCTGTAGAGCCAATAAAAAAAAATTAAGTATGCATTGATCTGGGAGCATACGTGTAGGTAGTAAGACGCCGCGGGGGGAGGAGCCTAGGCCACGCCGGGACCCCAAGCCGTTGTACCCTTAGATAAGTTCAGAATCAACAGCAAGTTGCTGTTACTTACTTACTCATGGAGCTGAGCCCTTCTGGAGGAGCCGCCAATTCTGCAGCTACTCAAAAATTTCCCAGCATTTTATAGAACCAGAAGGTTCATCACCGTGTTCACAAGAGCCCTCCACTGGTCCCTATCCTGAGCCACATCTATCCAATCCATAGTATCCCATTCTATCTCTCTAAGATCCATTCTAATATTGTCCACCCACCTACGCCTTGGTCTTCCTTGTGGTCCCTTTCCTTCTGGCTTTCCCACCAATATCCTATACACATTCCTC